GATAACATTTTAAACATGCATTTGAGCACCTACAATGTTTTGCTTTATATTTACAATGCATTTACAATGTGTTTGTGGTAAGCTTGAGATGTCTTGTACTCTTGTTTAATGATGATTGGAGATATTGAGGCTTCTAAAGTCATTAATTGCTTCGAACCTCCTGTATGTTTAGTGAAAAGTCTCGCTCAATTTTGGGTGGAGTTTTCTATGACAGATTAACGATTGAAAGATCCTTTTGGTTATTATGGGTGTAATGGGAATGAAGGGTTAACTTGTGATTCTATGTAAAGTTAATGATTTTTATTATATCAATATAGATGATTTACTTTCAAATAGAAATTTGGCACATTCACCAAATCAGCTAATTTCATTACTTTCAACAATTTTATTTAATCAGCTAATTTCATTGGTACCAAACAGACTCTTAATGTGCAGATATAATGTGAATTATAGTGATGTCGCAAGTCCCAGCAAATATTAGGAACCTATTTGGTAAATTACGTTTTCAACTTATTAGTCTTTTTTGGCAAATAAATGGCTTTTAAATTTGCACATTGCATTGTGTAATAATCAAAATAATTAATGTTGAGGAGTAGGGTGACTCTTCCGGCTAATTGGCATAATTCACTTAAACAAGTTTTTTTTAGTTATTATCACATAATGTTTTTTTATTTTATTAATAAAATATAAGGATTTATTTTTTTCATATTTCAACAGATTCAGTCAATTTTAAGGTTATGAAGCAGATTCCTAACGTTTCCTAATAACAAAAAATCAAAACTAAGTTTTAAATTTTATATCACTATTTAGAAATAATATTGTATACAACAATAAAATTAAAATAATATTTTAATTTTAATGTTTGATATCACTATATCAATATTGTATACTATGTCAAATAAAACTTTGTTGTACACCAAATTTGTAGACATTTCACACACATTTGTACATAATTGTTTGTGTGTCTTCACGAGCTGCCTGTGTACACAAGCAACTAGGGGTGAGCATTCGATCGATCGGTCAAATGACCGACCGATAACTGAATAACTGACCAAATGTTTTCACTCTAATAACCAACCGATAACATCACCATAACCGACCGAAAAACTGTAGTTCGGTTTCGGTCGGTAACCGAATAACTGACAATAACCGACCATATAAATTTTTTAAGCACTTTTTTTCAAAAATTTGAATGGTTTAAAAAAAACATATTAGAAAAAGAATTTGATACAAAAAAGGATGAGAATAGTTGATTTTTTACACTACAAAACAAAATGAATGAAATAATTGATCATATATAAAAGGCTAAAGGGTTGTTGAGGTTTAGTCTCGTAGATCAGAAAGCCCAACTCATTCTTTGGATATTAAGGATCTTTGTCTTGGTAAAAAGGTGTATAAAATATAAAACAGTGAATTATCAATGAACTCAGGAGCTAACTTGTATTACGTAATTCTGCGATTACAATGAAACTACCCGAACGTCAGTCGGTATGAGTTCAAATACAAGAACAAGAGATATGATTCTATTGCTAAGCTCCGAGTATCAAATTGCTAACCATTTACAATGTATTAAACACATGTATTTTTACTAGAGGGGGGGGGGGTGAGATGGACACGTGGCCGAACCCAGTAGGCAACCATGCCTCTACTTGCTATTGCCATAATTCAGCATTAAATGCGGCTCCCACTTGTTGACTACCCGTCCGGGAAGTGCGTTCGGCGTGCGGGACCCCTTTGTGGGTGTTTGGCTGCAAGTATTTTGTTTGATTATCTCAAGTGAACAAATCTACACAAATGTTGTTCAGGTATCCCCCGTTCGGGACGTCTTGGACTTTTCTGATTGCGTTGGGCTTCGTGTTTTCCCTGGGCCTTCTTTATAATTTGGTCCGGGCGTATTGGGCTTGGGCCCAATACCCCCAACAAGGGTCAAATAGGCCCTCGAACTAACTTAAAAAGTTCAATTCACCTCTTATATCGGAGGCTCTGTCCGGCTGTCGCCAATTGGAGCGGTTCCAAGTGGAATTTTTTGATGAAGTTTTTTGAACATCGTCTTCATTAAGTCTAGTTTACCCATACCAAATTTCAGATAAAAGTTCAACCGGGAAGACAGCCAAACTATTTTCTGGAATGTACTACGTTGTTTAACTGCGGAGTTATCTTCAAAAATTCATTTGACTGCCTTCCCGATTGAATTTTCTTCTGAAATTTGGTATGAGTAAATTAGACTTAATGAAGAAGGTGCTAAACAAATTTCATCAAAAAATTCCACCGGTAACCGCCCCAATTGGCGATGGCCGGACATAGCCTCCTATATAAGGATGAATTGAACTTTTTAAGTTAGTTCGAGGGCCTATTTGACCCTTCAGCCTATATAAAATGCTTTTTCTCCATTCATGAAATAAATAAGAAGAAATGAATTAAATTATCTCATAATAAAATTAATTTTCTTACGCTACTGGTAGTTTTTCTTGTGCATGAGTGTCATTTTATCTCTTTGGGATCAACCACTAAATACTAAATACATGAGATTGATTAAAATAGGAAAATTGATAGTAATAATCCCAATTATTGGCGGTCCGCTCATAATAATCCCAACTATCGATTATTTCAGAATAATCCCAACTTTAGAGACTGTCCGCCAATAATGGTCCGACGTGACCGGCTATAAATAAATTCCTATAGTTTCTAAAGTGGATGAGAAGAGATATATGAAGTAATCCCTATAAATAATCCCAACTTTTAATTTTTACGTTTAATTTCTATTTAAATTCACCTCTTATAGTAGGTAATATCCGGTCATGGGCTATTATTGGCGAACGGTCCATATAGTTGAGATTATACAAAAATAATAAATAGTTGTAATAGTTGGGATTAATATTTTCATTTTTCCATTAAAATATGAGGGCTTTCCTTAAATATTCCTACATAATAAAGTAAACTAAAATATGACTAAAGTTAACATGAGTATACCATTCATGATTAAAGTTACAATCACGCACATTAAAATTACACTTATAGTCATTAAAGTATGAAATGACATATTTGTATCCACAATATTCATTTTGGTCATATATTTGACATTACTTTTTAGAGTAATTATGATATATTATTAAGTGAAACATCATAGCATACATGGAGTACATACAAATGTTTATACGGAGTAGACTATACTTCGATTTTCGGTTAACCGACCGATAGCCGATTAAGATAACTGACTGTTAATTGAATAACCGAATAACCGAATTCTTTTAATATGTAATAACCGTTGACCGACCGATAACTGACTTTTTCGGTCGGTTCGGGTATCGGTTTTCGGTTTAATCAGTTTTGTTGGTTATTGCTCACCCCTACAAGCAACTAAAGAGTCTACACAATATTTGTGTGCACAAACAATAATGTACAAATGTGTACGATATGTGTATAAATTTGGTGTACAAATAGAATTTTTCTATTCTATATAACAAGGAATGTCTAGTTGGGCTTGGGATTGGCGGCGATGTGTGCTGATTTGGAGTTTGTGAGTGTGGGTCATCCGACTTAGGATTTGTTGTTTTGGCACAGCATTGATGGCATTTGCTTTTTCGTTCACATTTATTTGCTATTTCACTATATTTCACTATTGCTGTCTTTGAGTTAGTCCTAGCCCCCCATCATATGTAAGGTGTAGAGACTGTATACCAAGCTCATTTCTTTTGAGTCTTTTATATTATGGGCCCGTAAGTTTTCTTATTGGGGTTAGGGTTATATTCTCTTTAAATACCCACCCTCTCATTGTAATCATTCTCAGAAAATAATAACAAACATTTTGGCTTGGTAGCGCTCTGAGACGTAGTCATTCTTGACGAACTGAGTTACCAAATCTTGTATTTTCTTATTGTCTTTTGTATTGTGCGTGTGTTTTATCTTCACATCATATACATTAGTTCTATTTTCATCAATAAAATTCGATAAATGTTTATTAAAAAAAAGGCAAGGAATGTCTAGATAGCAGAAAAACATGTCTGGATAGCAGAAACACGAAGAAAGGGAGAGCCATATAAAGTTAGGATGTTTTTAATTGGACTGTTCAACCTCAAACCAAACTAGACTTAAATAGACTAGACCAGACCAGACTTCCTTGGTTATAGATTACACAGAGACCAAACATTTTTTAGACCAAACCAGACTAAACTAACAAATTTCTGTCCAAATAAAAACATCCTTATTTTGTATTATGATGTTTGATTTTACCCATGAAATAAGAAGGGAAGAAAATGCTTCTTCCATGAGTTGCTTCTAAAAATCTACCTTTCTTTGTCAACATAGTTTGTTTTTTATGGCTTGTTTAGGATACCAATTTTTATTAATTTTAATTTCTAGAGCTATCAATGTACTTTCTAAACATGTAAATTTTTATTAGTAAAACTGATTAACTATATACAGGTTTGGCCACTTTTAACCATTATTGTGTCAATGACACTTCTAATATCGGTTTTTTTCCATTTAACTTTATCATCAAATTGCAAATCAAATTATCAAAGTGAGTAAGCCGAGGAAGTATGATCACTGCTAGAATGAATATATGAACTATTCTTTTTTATTTGAGAAATTACCCTAAATAGGACTAAAAGTACTTCTATATTCCAAAAATAGGACTGCCATGTTTTTTCACTCAAAATAGGACTAATTACTGCCATGTTTTGGCAGTACCAGGCTTTAAAGATGACAGTATTTTCCAAATTTGACAGTGATTACTCCTATTTTGGGAATAAAAACATGAAAGTCCTATTTTGGAATTTTCAAACTTATTTAGTCCTATTTCGGGAACTTTCCCTTTTTATTTTAACAAGATTTAGTTTGGCTAAACAAAATAAGCATGATATCATTATGAAAGAGACGATATAACAAGATTACCTAAATGGCGCTCTTCCATACTTCGTAATACGAAGTTCGTATGTAACAACCCGGTAAATAAAATAAATACAATAGCGACAAACCAAATTATCATTATATGTGTGTGTGTACTTCGTACATAATATCCTCACATAAATATCTTTATTTTTTATACTAGACTAGAGGTTTTGGACTTCCGAAAAAACATTTGTGCTTGATGCCTTCATCTTATCCATCTTTACAACGATATTCAGTTTCAGATCAAATTTTTTAAAACAGTCATATATGTTCCACATAGGCACATATTATCAAACAGCGCCATCTTATAAGTATGTTTTGCTTCACTAAACAAATACAAAAATACTTGTGATGGGGGTTAAAGGAAAAAAGTATTGGATATTCACTGGCATGGTCATCACCTCCTTTCAATATAAAAAGCTGTTTATAATTACCTCATTTTTACTATGCCACAAAGAAAAGGAAGATCATGAGGAAGAAAATCAACACAAAGAATATCTTAATCATTAGCCACCTATTAGATGAGATGCTGTTGAGATACTTGAGTAATGCCCCTTGTGCCCCTTCTACATTTGCGAGTGTGTCCTCCATATTCTCATCAATCCTGCAGTATTACCCCAATTAATTGTCCATGTCTTCTTTTTCATGCATATACCCTTCGACAAGGTGAAAACATACGTGTGTGTGTGTGTGAAACTGCTCTGTATACAGAGCTTAACGGCAAATTAATCAGCCCAAACACTATCCAAGCTTAATTAAGTGGGGCATATAGCTTTGCAGCAAATTAATCAGATCAAACGGTTTATAAGCATTATTAAGTGGGGCCTAAGCGGGGCAAACACCTGGGAGCTAAAGAAGCCTATCGTCATGCAGAGGATTAATAGGGGGATAGGCTAGAATATATAAGCAGAATAACAATCTAGGTAGAATTTCATGGCCAAATTGACTAGAACTTTGACCAAATTTGGAATTCATGACCAAGATTGAGATTTGGGTATTAGTTTCATAATAATTACTAATCAGGCTATTTTGCTTGACATACATGTAATGCATTTCAAGTGTAAATAACTTTTAGAATGTTTATTTTGATTGTACTTGTATTTTATTATGAAGATAAATATGAATGTATTCAACAATATCCAAAACCAGCAGAAGAAGGAAACATAAATATGAATAAAATCACACCACAACATAAAACTGTATTCAACTATGAATAAAATCTCACTGGAACTACCAACAATTTCTAACAAACAGAAACAGAAATATAAATGAATTTAGTTTGTTAGTGTTAAATGTTTACGTTTACGTTTAGAAAAAGGTGAAAAATAAGACTTATAAATTCATGCGCATAAGATGGCATTAGAAACAAAAATTGAAACAGAAAATATGGGAAGCCATTATATCCCACTAATAGCCTAATATGGCTAGATCAACTCGTGAACATAGGTTTGGGCTATTTCTTCTACTAATTATGAATAGTGTTCTGCCTTAAGCCCAAATCTAGAGAGGATGTTGTGACTTGTGAACCCAGTGGTCCACCCTGAAGAATCATAAATGGTCTTCAAAACTAGCCCTTGAATCCTTTACATAGGTGCATCCGTGCATGTAAAAACCCCACTGATAAAACTCCTTTACTCATGTGGTCAGCGATTATGAATCTCTTCCTTTTACTTAAAAAATACACAAAAAAACATTAATTTTTTAAGAGAAAAACTTAAAGTATTTATCTTCTTCCGTAACTTCCCAAATTTTTAGTTAGCTGGATCTCTACCCTAAAACAGCTTCTCTTCTCTCCACAGGTAAGGTCTGCACATATCTCACCCACCCCAGACCATACTATTGAGTGGGACCTACTGTGTATGTAGGGATTAGAAACAGACTAGATATGACCTCTTAAGTTTTCTTGGAGGACAGGCAGGTCTAAACAACTACAGCTTTACTGCAAGTGTTAGACAAAACGATGAGTTTAATGAAACTTAGAAAAACTAAATTCCACCAGATCCTATCAATGTATGATATACTATCCTCCGTTCTTTAATTCTTGCAACAATTTGACTTTCACGTTTGCCAACGCGCAACTTTGACTGTAATTATATTTAATTATATATTAGTAAACATTATAAAAAGTTGATATTTTGAAAATTCACATTTATAGGAATTCAATAATATATTATACGTAATAATTTGATTATGCATATTAGTAGAAAATCGTGGTCAAAGTAAGGTCTGTGAATAGTGCAACAATCACAATGTTGCAAGAATTAAAGAACGGGGGAAGTAAATTTTTTCCTCTTCTGGTTGCCGCATTCATTATATTGACACCTCAAAGCTAAAATTACATACTGCATGACCATTATAAGCTATATATATGAATTGGTACCTGATTGCTATCTCTCCTTGTTCCGAAACCAAGGTGGCCAGTTGATTAAAAATATTGCCGAGCTCATGTATCGTAGCCTCCACATTTTGAAGGGCTTCAGCTCGACTTTGCATGTAGCTGTCTTGCAGGGGAACCATTTGTTGTTGTTGTTGTTGCTGCTGCTGCAATAACGGTTGACTTTCTCCATCATTTTGTTTCCTGCTAGGTAGTTTTAGAGGTTGAAAACTTACGTTTACTCAAGAATAATAATTCAAATAGTAATAGTTGTTGTTTATTTCCATCATTTGCAATGGAGCCAAAGATTCATTATTTTTTTGCTTGAGAATATGATGGAATAAAGCAAAATGACTCACTAAACTGTCTGCGCTTCTTTGTTATGAAGCAGCAGTCAGTCCATGCAATTTTGGATGCGATTTTCACTATGGGTCATCCAGAAACATATTTGAATCGTGTTGGACTTTTCAAATTTTCCAAATAGATATTGAAAAGGCATTGTAGAACAGCACTACCAGTAGTGTTAATGATACGGTGATAAAGAAAAAAACATTAGCAACAACATCAATAAGGTCCACACACAAGTCAAAATCAACCACCAACCTATATAACTAATATAAGGTTCAAATGAAAATGCATCATTTGCCTATAATATAAATAAAAACCGGCTAGTACATGCTATGAGTCCAGGATGCATAGGTTATTAAATATATGAAAAACAAGTGGGCTCAAATAATTTTTGGGCAATAAAATGCCTCAGCACTTTGACCCTAACTCATTTCATGCAGAGGAACAATATTTGTTATTTTACCAGACAGATATGGGAATGTGTGCAGCCCCCGTCCAAGGTCTTAATGAAGAGGTTGGGAGAGAAAAGGAGTAACGGGAGAATTGCTAAGCTATGGTGATAACAATTGCTTGCCCTTGGCAAGCAGTCGAGCAATGATATGCACGACTTACCCTAGCTAAAGTTGAAGGACTGGACTTGAAAAACTATATGCTTTATTTTTTATATACAAACCCACATTTTGGTCGACTGGTACAGAGTTCATCTGAAGTGTTGAAGCCAATGTTTAGTCAAGATCTTTTCAGCAGTGCTGGTAGGTCTTCAAACAATGGCTCCAGCCGCTCCACATAACCAGCCGAAGAGAAAGGGAAAGCAAGAAAAGTAAAAGAAATTTGAAACATGGATAATTTTTAAGGCCCGCAGTGAAGAAAAGGAAAATTCAAACTGCCGCAAAGTTTGAAGTGATTTGTGCATCTTGTAAGAGTAAAATGATTAATGATTTAGACAACTTGTATAAAATAATGTACACATCATTAGTATAATGTATGATGTAATTTTCAAATCTTGTGTACTAAAAAGTTTGAGAGAGGATGAAAAGATAGAAAAAAGTGAGGGGAGAGAATACGGAAATGTATGGGCATTTATGTTACTCGTCAAGCTCTTATATGCCAAAAGGGGGGAAGAGGAACAAGTATTTGAAAAATTCCTTAAAAAACAAGTGAAGAAACTAAGTGCATATGAAGGGATCAAGGGAGAATATTTTTGGAGCATGGATGGCCTAGCATGGTCTATAGCTAAATGGCAACTTAAAAGTTACAGCCGACAAAATATATAGACAGTACCGTAGTCAATCAACTAGCACAAAGAAGAATGGCAACATGAAAGCTAGAAGTAATTTAATTAGACATACTCAAAAAGTATTGCATACATCAATTCAGCTGTGACAGCCTGACACCATTTTTTGTGTGAACAATACATTTTCTACAGAAAGCTATTCCTCAATGCACATCTTAAAACTGGAAACGACAGAAACTGAATATAGTAGAATATGTTGCAAAAGCAAAGTGTGATAGAACATATGTTAAATACCGGCCCCTAGCTATGGCCACCTGTCAATTGAAACTCAAACAGGAATATTATAACACACTAAACTATTTGGGAATGGATTTTTGCTTCACAAGATATCTACGGTACAGACATCACAATAGAAAGATAGGATTCATTGTTTGTTAATTTCTACTGTTGAAACAAATTTATTGGGCAGAAAACTTGGACTGGACAATCTCATAAGTATATCAGTTCCCATAATTAATCATCTTACTTTGGAAATAACTGTGAAGAAGGAGCTGACCCATTAGCCCAAGGAGGAGGAGAATGAGTAGAAGTACTAGCAGAAGATCTGGCAGCCAACGGACGCTGGCGAACGAATGGATTTGAGGAGTCCTTGGAAGCGGTAGAAGAAAACAACTGCCTTCTGTTCTCATGAACTTTCAAATTCTGTCAAACCAAAAAAAAAACTTGAATGAACATTAGGTCAATGAAAGACAATAACAAAGGCTAGTTCTGTAGTTCACGTACACAGCAATGGGTAAAATAAGTTAAGAGCTGGTTATAATATTATACATTATACCCGGAGAAGATAGCAATATCAGGAAAAAGAAAGTATAATCATGAAGAGAGAAGACAATATCAGCTGTATTCACCTCTGTACGCATGGTTAGGACATCTTTGAACTCCTTGGTGGCGCTCATCAAGCGGTTCTTCAAGTCATCTACAACTGTAGTTGAATGTGTAGTAGTATCACTATTTCCAATTTCACTACGCGAGTTAGATATAAGCTGAAGATCAACTACAGCAGAATTCAGTGCAGTAATATCTTGCTTGATGACTGCAGTCAGTTCCTGAATCTCTGTGGTGGGATCATCAAAAACAGATGTTCTTTTTGCCACTGCAATGAAACAAATATGCATTACTGACTGTACGCCTTCATTGTAAGAGGTCTCGCAAGTAAATCAGTTCATTCTTGTACCCTTTATGCCACACCAAAAGAATCGTTGCATATGTAGTTCACAATTTCCAATAATATATACACATGCTAAAGTTTTTTCAGTAGGGAGAGCTAACGATTTGTATGGACTGGGGGGAACGGAAGAAGGGAGCGAAAACTATTTTTCTCTTTGGTTTTGAGAGAGAGAGTAAAGGGGGGAGGTGGTCGATGGGACAATCTTCCTCTTTTCCCTCAAATGTCATCCTCTGATCGTTCAAACTCGAATCAAATGGAAGGAGTTGCGAGGACACTCCGCCTATATTCTTAATCTTTTACAAGTACAGACTATATTACATCCCCTTCATTTACATTAAAATCCAAAGTTGGGAACACCAAAATCCTTTATAATTCCTTCTTGCTTTCCATTTCCAGTAATAATGCAGTCCACACAGAGCTTAGTAATTTCCATGTTCTCCTTCATAATACCCTCTTCTCCTTCCCTCTATAACTAACATCCCTTACCATCAACCCAAAGACACTGATAAAAATGACCAGAGCTTAATCTATCCACTCTACTTATCTAAGAGCAGCAATCAATGTTCGAGCTATTTTAAATTATAAAATCTGACTTAAGCAAAGCTTAGTGTACGAGTTTTCGAAGATGAATTTGTTTTTCATTACGCTGTTTGTCACTATTTTCCATTTCCAAACAAATTCCAGTATACAAGACCTTCTACATAGCCTAGTAAAGTATATGATAAAGGTATAACATAGCTGTTTAATGCATTTAAAAGGAATCATGTTTACTTTATCATAAGGATTCTATACAATACTATACATCACTTTCATAAAATGACAACAGTTTTAAGAACTTAAAAATTTGTATTCACATAATTATAAATAATATTTTACTCTTACTATTATTTTTATTGTGCATTACTGTAACACATGCAATATTTGCTGGAAATGCTACGGAGCATGGGGGCCAGCATCGATTTTTTGAATCAATGCAACAAGAAGGGGAAGTGGGCAAAATCAAATACAGAAGTGATATACACTCATTTCGGGCAGGATCCAGCTTTCTGCTTTGAAATCATCATTTATTTATGTAGTTGCTGCATTTAAGCTATGTAAGGAGACAGTTCCTCAGAAGGTCTCGAGATCCAAATGATAAAAACTTATTTAACATCTACTAGTTAGCATTCCGTGCCCTTACCCTCATTACTTCGTATTAGCCAAACTTATTTTAATCCCCATTTACAATTACCCACTTAGAATAGAAATAAGAATGAGATTATTCCAGGTAATTTGAAACACCCAGCACAAGAGAACACTAACATAGTACTGCTAAATTCATGCCACATATATTGTGTTAAGCATGATTGCTGTGCGGCTGTGTTATATGGAGCATATTGAAGAAAATAATGGTTTCTTTGTTTAATTTAAATGTGAACTAAACTGTGTAACCTTAGTGCACAAGAGAGAAAACTGCTAATCCGATCCTTACACTTTGCAAGCTTCGAGAGCTTCTGCGACGTATTGTGTATACCCAGCCCAATTTTCGACGCCCTTTTATTGAACTCCGACTGATTGGAGACTAAAGACCTCTGGTCCGATCTACTGCTGATGGCGCTACTACTCGCGGCATTATGCACCGAAGAAATTGATTTCTTCAGCCGTTCGGCAGTGCTCTGAAATTCAAGAGTCCGATCCCGAACAGACGCATTTGCAGCTTTAGGCAACATTTTTTCAACCTCAGCCCTCTAAATTACCATAAGCCTCCGCAAGATTTCCAATATTATACCGAAAAAGCCTAGAAATTTGGGATCCGGGCAAACGATTGAGGGAATCAGCCACCAACAAGTAGATCTCTTGTCGTAGGGTTCGAATTCAAATGACTTTATTGACGTTGGTCCAGATCCGCAACCACCATGAGAATTGAGAAATTCCAACACATCTAACGATGCAGGTGATTTTCGTAATGGAGTTGAGAGGAGAACTGGAGAAGGCGAGCACAGCTTCCTTGGCGCTGTTGTATACTTCTCAGTTCCTTCCCAATTTGTTTAAAAAAATGTCCCTTTTTTTATTGAAAAAATTGAAAACAATAATTCTAACTATTGTCCGTACGTTAACAATAATCTCAATTATTGATTATTTTTGTATAATATCAATTATATGGACCGTCCGCCAATAATGACCCATGACCAGATATTAACTCCTATAACAAGTGAATTTTAAATAGAAATTAAGCGTAAAAATTAAAAGTTGAGATTATTTATAGGGATTACATGATATATATCTTCTCATCCACTTTAGAAACTACATGAATTTATTTATATGGACCATTATTGACGGAAGGTCCCTACAGTTGAGATTATTCTGAAATAATCAATAGTTGAGATTATTATGAGCGGACCGCCAATGGTTGTGATTATTACTATCAATTTTTTCTTTTTAATTTACCAACCCAGACCACAATAATGTAAATTAAAGACAAATTCTATTGGTGACCCTGTGATGATTTTGTTATTTTTTTTATTTATATCTTATTTTTTTCTCAAAAAAAACTTTTTATTATCTCTAAAGCCATCACTTTTTTTATTAATCAAATATCATACTCCATCAAACTTGAGACTTTGAATAAATTGACTAAAGTTTGAAACAAGACTCACTTGATTGTGTGAGTTTTGTGAAGATATTAAAGCTAGGAAATTTCATCTCCTATTTATTTTTTATATTATTTGGAAAAAAAAAGTTTTCAAAATATCTTCACGTTAATTTTGAAACTTTGTGACATATTTCAAAGGGATTAGGTCACCCTAATATTACTAATTATAAGAGATTGGACAAATATAAGATCTCTTTCTAATTCTTCCAATAAGAGACTAATGTGTGACCGTTTGGTAACTTATAAGATGAAAATATCAAATATACTTCTCCCTAATTAATACTCTATATACAATAACTAAATACTACTACAGCAATGTGTATCTACTATGTATCATTCTAAAAGCATAATGAATACATACTAAATTCATGTTGCCATTTTCAAGTTTAAAAAAAATTGTTACATGTGTGCGCCGCGCGACAATCTTTTGGAAAGTGCGGCTATTTTGCAGACGATTCCAGCGATGCAGGCGCTGACGTGTGTGAGGTATTGGTTTTTTCTCTATGGTTTCGGCCGTTGGAGCTGTTTCTTCCATTTTCGACATTAGTCGGAGTACGGCCATCGTTTTTGTTTCTTTCGTGGCACGATGGTGCTTGTAGGGTGCAAGACCAGAGAGTAGAGAAGAGGTACTCATGGGGCGACGCGGCTTCGTTTTGTGCTTCCTTCACCTTGTTGCTACTCTGGGCGATGGTTGTTTGGTTGCTACCAACGCAAGGAGACCAAAAGTACAAAGATATAGGTGCGGGTTTTGATTTGCTTTCTTTAATTTGCAGGTATGACGGGGTGTTTGATCAACAAGGAGCAGGATGAGGAAGAAAATGTAGTACTGTTGACCCGACCTCCTCCTGAACTGCCGCCACGGCAAGTAACGGGTTCAGGATGTTGTCTCGACCTAGTGCTTTGGAAGATGCAACAGAGATGTTATTTTATCGTTATTATTATTTTCTTTGAGACTAAGTATTCTGTTTTCTATCGTTTTGTTTTTTACCTGCATAATAAGACTTTGAGTTTGGATTTGGGTGACAGGAGGTTTGTGTTTCCCGTCTTTGGCTCATATGCGCCCATAAATGGATCAGTGAGTTATATTGCTTCTTTGAGGTGGTTAACTCTGAGTCTGGTCCGAGGGTCGGTGGTTGCCTACGGACTCTTTGTCTTTTTAACCCTTATTTGTATGTTGTGATATCAATTTAAGCCACATTTCCTAAAAAAAGATAAAAAAGAGTTGTATAATTTTTATACTTTCTAAACTACGGCTATCCAGTTACACGTCCAACTATTTAGAGTTACTCACCTTCAATTACAATTAGTCGACAGTTACAATTACCCGACATGTTAGTTACTCGACCACCCTCCAAATATTGGAATAGCTCCGCTCGGATTATGGGCCACCTTAACACGAGATGATCATTCCTTTTTCTGCTCTCAAAGGAGGCATGATATACTTGGAGGCCTTCTTGAACCAAAATTTGACCCCGTGTGAGCACACAAAATACGTTTATCTCTGGTTTTCGGAGATAGGTGTTGATATGTGTGAAATAAGTATTTACAAAGCTGAAGTGAGCGGTCAGAACTTGCATCCAACAACGCGGAACTGCTTGAAATAGATTCATTAAATGCGTCTCCTATGATAGGTTATTCTCCAATAACATGCAATTCCCAAAGCGTGATCGTCAACTCACCAAACGATGTAAGCAAAGTATTCACCGTTGGACACCACGCATCACAAAATGTTTGTACATCATTAGTACATTGGTCATACGAGAACAATGAGGCATAAACGACATCGTAAATAAGCCCCTCCCCCAGAACGCTTTTACTCATACTCAAAATGTCCTTGGCCCAATCCCAATAACCTGTGGTGAATTGAATCTAAATTTGCCACTGAATGATAAAGTCTTTGTCAAAGGGACGTTTTCATCAATGATTTGTCTACCCAAAGAAGGGAGAATCTCAGAAGATGGACTATGAATAAAACCAAATACTAAAGTTTGTGTAGTTTGAACTTGATACTCGCACATAGGAGTCCTGTAACTCGGTAGGACAACAGTTGCACCCCAAAACTCGCGAGCAAATGGCTTATACATCTCCAAAAGAATCTCATCGTCATTCTTCTTGCTCGTTGATACAGATAGATACTCCCTCCGTCCCGCTAGAAAGGTTCCCGTTGACGGTTTACGATGCTTAACTGATGATAAAGCAACTTAATCCTTATTCATACTCTAATTATTTTTAGTAAACAAAATTTACATATTCAGAAGCTACATTAAATCCGCTACAACGCCTGATAAAAAATGTAAATTTGATATATAAAGTAAAAGATTAAAAATGATTTAAGTTGACCATGTGAATAGTGGACGGGAACCTTATAATGGAACGGAGGTAGTACTTTTTGTTTCCACGATTTACGTATCTAAAAAAATATCATTTTGTACCGCAAGAAATAAAAAAGATATAGCAAAAATGCCATTATTATTACTAAATGGGCATGGTAAAGTAATAATAACAATAGTGATAATAAAGATTTTAAAAAGCTCTCTGGTGGTAATCAATCTCAAGCCCAATCAATCAATTTGATCTTCTAGCCAAATGAACAAATAAAATAGGAAATCAGTAACACCAGTGAATATTCGACTAAGCTCCTTCAGAATGAACAAATGTCAGCAGTAGCGGTGACATCTTAGTCTCTAACGGTCTGCAATCGGCCAAGTCCTTTAAATTAATGCCAATGATGTTGTATAAGTGACTAAACTCCTAAAACATCTTACTTCGTATATGAGTGAGCATAATCATTGATACTCTTGGACCACAAGAGTTTAAAATGTGTACGACAAGCTCTTGGCCCACGAGAGTTTAAAATGTGCACGACAAGCTCTTGGCCCACGAGAGTTTAATGTGTACGACAAACTCCTGGCCTGCATGAGTTAAAACTATGTACGATTTCTTTAGATTACATATTCAAATAGTATTATGAACTACACTTGACTTGATCTCCTTCATAGGAGTACATAAGCAGCTTGAAAATTTCATTTTTGAGTTCAGTTATAACAAAACAAACCCCAACAAAGCATGATCTTAGTCATACTTGATGGTACCATGGGCTCGGCCCATGGCCTAAATACGCAATTCAACCCATAACGGGATTCGCCTAATTAACAGGATTAGCCCATAACGGGATTAGCCTAATTAACAGGATTAGCCCGTAACGGGCTCAGCCCATGACGGGATTAGTCTAATTAACAGCATCAGCCCATCGACGGGATTAATGTCGAATATGTCGCCAGGCCCAAACAGGTTCAGGCCCACGATAGGAACTCACAGCCAGGTCGGGCTGCACAGCAGACCTCGAGCCTGGGCGGAGTTCTAGTGAGGTTGGGATATTCCTCGGGTTACATGGCAAGCAATTATTCGGCACAGTTATTTGGCAACAGGCAGGACTCGTCTGGAGTTTGGAAACAAGAAGGAGACAATCAATGCTTGATATCCAAGGCATGAGAGGATATCTATTTCGAGCAAAAATATAGTTCATTAATTAGCATTTATTGTATTGGATTCCTCCTAAAATAATAACTCCTAAAGTCTATAAATACTTCTTGTAAACACCCTACCAAGGGACTGGAACTTTGGTCGGACACACGACTTGTCTTCGGAATAAGAGCATATTGCCTTACGCTGCCACATTCTTTCATACTTTTCATACGTTTCTCATACCTTTTGGTAGATTTAGCTCTCGTAGTTGGATTAAACTCCATCATTTGGTGCTCTCGTTGATAGAAGAATCTACAAGAAACAATGGTTGGATCAAATAGTCACAACCGTGCTGGTAGCAATCAAGGTGGAGATCGCTATAACCAAGTTGTGATCGAGGACGAAGGTTCGAGGTCGCGACGCAGCGATTTCCGAAGGTGTAACGATAATATCACCACGCAAGGTAATTTAAGAAACCAGATCCAAGGCGTGGGGAATTCAAGGCGCACAATGGCGCGGCCATCGCGATTCCAAACGTCGGGCACTGGACATAACATTCCCAACGTGGATCTGGCTCAAGCTTTGGCGAGTTTGGCTACGTTTCAAAGAGATGTGGAAACTTTGACAATGGCGTTCCAAGGTATCATTCTTGATCTTAATGGGAGGCCTCCTTCCCCTCGACGGGCTCCATCCATAATCCCGCAGAAAAGAGAAAACTCCCCTCAACGTCAGAGGAACTCGCCACCAGCCCGATCTCAACACTCCCATCGATCCAGAGCAACCCCGAGGATCTCGGTGACGAATCGGGTAAATGGACAAAGAGTTTATGTCCATGAAAGACTCTCTTCAAGGGCGGAGCATAGTGAGAGGGCCTCTTCGGCTGCTGTTTCGTCCCACC